CTACCGCGATTACGGCAGAACCGCGGCCAGAGAGTCCCTCTGAATCTTCAGCAGGGTTCTGGCGTATTTTCAGCAGTGATTTGGCATTTAATTAATTATTAAATAATTAAATAAATTTTGTCCAAAAATAATCTTATCGATCATTTGACAAATCCGAAGCCGACGACGGCGCGAGGGTTCATTCTCTTCAACTCCTTTTAAGAGCTTTAAGAAGTGATTCTATATATAAGCACACAAATGTGATTGTCCCTCACCAATGAGGGACAAAGTGCAAGACAAAAGTTCACTTCTTCAAATTTTCATTTTTCCCTTCATTTTATTTCCCTCCATTTCCAATTCACACTTCTTCTACTTTAAAGCCCAATGGCTTAAAGTCCAACAAAAATCTTGTTAGATTAAACTGGATTTATATCGCTTTTAAGAACATAAAATCTATTATTATTTCGCCTTATATATTAGCATTCTCTTAGTTACGATTCAAGATCAATGGAAAAGAACAATCAAGTCATTTATGAGACACGTGATTTGCACGTGATTCAATCTATTTATATTAGAGGGTTAATCTTGTTAGATTAGAGGATTCAAGATCTATTAAGAATAGTAAAAGAACAATCATGCCATTATGGGACACGTGATTTGTATGTAAATTAATCTGTTTATATTAATGGCTAATCTTGTCAGGTTAGATGGCATATTTCAGTTTTCAAAACAGAAAAATTATTACTACTTCACCTTGTATATTAGAATTCTCTTATTTAATTGATAATAGTAAAAACGGATCAGGCCATCTAGGGACACATGATTCGGCCGAGATTGAATATGTTTATATAAGTGATAATCTTGTTAGATTAGACTGGATTTATATCGGTTTTAAGAACGTACATAAAATCTATTGCTACTTCACCTTATATATTAGTAACATTTTCTTAATTACGATTCAAGATCAATTGAGACTAGCTAAAAAAATCAAATCATTTATGGGACACGTGATTTGCACGTAACTCAATCTGTTTTTATAAGAGATTATTCTTGTAAGATTGGAGGATTCAAAATATATATTAAGAATAGTAAAAGAACAATCGTGCCATTTATGAGATACGTGATTTGCACGTAATTCAATATATTTACATAAATGGCTAATGTTGTCAAGTTAGGTCACGTAATATCACTTTTCAAAATATAAAAATTATTACTACTTCACTTTATTATATATATTATAGCCATCATTTTAAAATTACTTCGAGTTTTTCTCAAACTTAGTGTGGGAGGACAAAAAAATTTCACAAGCTACAAAACAAAGATACAACTTACATGATGTTATAAATAGAATTGTATTTGAGGTGAATGTCTATATTTGGAGAGATTTTAAGGTTTGTTATTTGGTGGCTAAGTCACTTTTTCCCTATAAATAGAGGGGTTCTATTCCATTGTAATTCATCTCAAAGCAATAAGAATTCTCTCTCTCTTTCTTTGCAGTATTCTTCTTTTATTGTTTTATAACACGTTATCAGCACGAGGCTCAAACCAATTGAGTAGAAGCTTTGGAATTGAGCATAATGATTGTCAATTGTTCCATGAACTTCCTTCATGATTAAATTCTGGATTTAAGGTATGTATTTTACCGTATTTTTCTCTTTTATTCTATAATTTGATTTTAAATACAAGCAAAGACAATAAACTTTGATTATAACTCTAATAGAGTTTGCAAGAAATTATAACCACCCAAAATGGTAAAAATTTCTATGTCTTGCCATGATCAAATTAATGTGTGATTATGGGCACAAGTGAAAACTCGTCCCATTAAATTTGCTTCATTCGCATTCCCTTAAGAGAATATGATAGCAGTATGTGATAAGTCTGAAAGAAGACAAAATTATTACCGCGAATGTATCAATGGATGTGGATGTGGCAATAGACAAAATTATAATCGTCATCATTGTGTACTGGGAATAATAAGGATTCTCAAAATAATCCTTCACTTTGTGAAAGTAATGTTTGTCGTCGATTTGACATGAGATTTTGTAAAGCACATATAGGTGATTATGATCCATTCATGATGTGAATGTGATAACATGTGATTTATGAATACATATTCATTCTTGGAAGAATATGAACGTGCTAGTGGTAGATACCACACTCACCTCTAGAATGAGGTTTGAGATGAATAAGAAAATAATGTCATTATTATGGCATGAAAGGTCATTGATCACGTACCTATTATACGCTAAAATAATGTGGCAATGTGATTATTACAGGGCAAAAGTAATAGAAGCAACATATCTTGCCTATAATGATTTTGACCATGACCATAATGGTATAACTTTCTCCTTAAAAGAAATATTCACCATATGGATGTTGATGAATATGTGGTAGTACCAAATTAACTGAGAGTTCTGGAAGAGCCAATTATTACTATGTTGGAGATATAAAATTGATAATCAATAAGGCATTGTATTGTAGTAAGTCTCAAAGAAACTTAATTGAGTTTCTAAGGTATTCGCGAAAGCGGTTGATTATATTGAGACTATAAATAAAGGAAAGATTTAAATTTTCTATTACTACAACTTGTAGCGGGATAATATGTACGTGAAAAGCTACCCGTTTTATTCTCCAATTTGTACTACATAAATAAAAGAGTGCCACAATAAAGGAGAAGTTTATTGATATAAAAACACATATCATAATAAACTTGGAATTTATCATAATTGCACACGTCGTGGTGTAAACCTAAAGTTTATCAATATTGATAATTTTATCCAGTTAGCATAACTAGTTTAGCCATATCAATTTAATCTGATGTGCAAAAACAAAAGAGAATTCACATGGGTAAATATTAAAGAACTAGAAAATTCTTTACGAATTATCTGATGTTGCTTGTTCTCATTAATTAATAGACCAACTAAAATTGGGATTGAATCCCATGAATGCTGGAATGGAAATATCAAAGGTGAATATGGGCCCATTTACCTGCCATGTATACCAAATAAGATGCATATATGAGATGGTTACATGTGCGATTATTATTAACCCGCAACCTGGTGTTTGCGAGGTAACTTGCTCAATAATTTAATTTCGAGCATAATTTCCATATTTTCTATTCAAGATAGTTTATCTTGACAAGTTGATTTACATCACAACTAGTTTAGCAAAATAATTATTGAGTGCCTCCACTTAAAAGCTAAATCATTGCTTATGAGAATAAAGTTATCTATATTAGTTTGATATACGTTATATACGAAAGTATATTATATTCTCCCCTCACAAGTGGTTTCAGGGCCATGAACCAAATAATTCCATCTCATTATTATTGATGTGCGATGTATATTTTGATTAACACCATAACGCACAAAGATAAATTTCTAAAGTTGAAGAAGCAAGTTAGTTTTTCTAACATGAGGGAGAGACATGATAAACAGTTGAGAAAAAGTTACGTGGAATGAATTATCATTTGTACATCTGGATCCTCGAATAAGATAATATGAACTTGAAGTTCATAAAAAGATAATTCATTTGCAATATATTGCAAAGCATGCTAGACGCATTTGCTGACCCAAAGAAAGTAACTATATTCTCACCGCAAATGCTCCTATTAGAATGAGTCCTAGAAGGACAAAGTCTAAGCCGCGCTTAAAGCGTATAGACAAATCGGTTTTAAATAAACTTCTTAATAAAGAAGATGAGGAAATGATCAAAATGATCATAATTAGGAGGCAAGTGATCTAGAAGATCATATGACATAACACTTCATAAAATCTCAGGAGGGATTCAGGTACCTGAAAATATGAATGAAGAGATCTCTATGCCATGTCTTTATGAAAAATTGTTGGAATCGATATAAAATGTTCGTCGACGACATCTATCGTAGCGCTAAGTATAGATGAGGACCTCAAGTCTGTCGAATACAGATACAAAAATATTGGCCAAATATAAGAGACACAATTCAAATAGAATTGGTTTTATATAAAACACATGTAGTTTTGGACATGAAGTTCAAACACTCTAGAGTCAATGGTGTGTTTGCAATCACTTTCATGTATCTTATATGTCTGGAATGACATGAAAATTTAATACGCATCTAAAGTATATTTAAATGGCTTATTTGACTATACTTATATGACAATCCCCAAAGGATTTAAATTGCTTAAAGCATATACAATTCTTGATCTTGAAGTACCACATCCTCAGCGCAATTTGTACACAAATATATCCTACTATAATTATATGCATGATAGTATGATAGTAAGAACTTTTGCCCCTATGTGATGATATTGAAATGACGATTCCAACAAGATCATATGAAGACAATTCATCTCTATCAGGAATGATTTCAAGGTGCAACATACTCATTCAAGTTAATATGGTTGATTTGTCCACCAAATCTCTATCGATGTCAACCTTCAAGAAGCTAGCATACAAGATTGGGATGCGAAGACTTAAAGATATGATTTCATGCTCTCATCAAGGGGAGTGAATACGCGTTGTACTCTTTTTTCCTTATAAGGTTTTGTCCCACTAGTTTTTTCTTGCAAGGTTTTTAACGAGGCAACCAAAAGGCATATTGTTAGATATGTGTACTCTTTTTCTTTTACTAGAACTTTTTTCCACTGGGTTTTATTTTAGTTAAGGTTTTAACGAGGCACATTATCTGTTGGATAGACATTCAAGGGGGAGTGATATAAATAGGGAGAGATTTTAGAGTTTTTTACTTGGTGGCTAAGTCACTTTCCCCTATACTATTCCATTGCAATTCATCTCAAAGCAATAAAAATTCTCTCTCTTTCTTTGCAATATTCTTCTTTTATTATTTTATAACACAAGACATATAATCTAATCGTCAAGCCTTATAATCTAATGATATTGGTAAGAATTTTCACAAGAGGTGCAGGTTCGATTCCGACTTTTCCCATTGCCTTCTCATTCCCAACCCCTATGTAATGGAAAAAAGTAAAAACTTACAATAAAATAAAAAATTTAAAAAAATAAGAGAAGAAAGCACATACAAATCCAAATACAAAACCCAAGTTATCTTGTCTGATATATATATACAGCTATTATTGTATTTAAGAAAGTTTTTGCTGCATTTTCAGAGAGAGAGAGAGAGGAAATGGAGATCAATATCAGAATTAGCAGATGATTTGGAGATTCAAACCCTAGTTCTTTCCACTTTTATCGATATTCAATCTCTTTGTATTTTAGTTTTTTTCCTGCTTAATTTTAATTTTCGCTACGTATTTTTCATTTGATTGATATCAGCTGGATATTCAATCTTCGATCGGTTCGATTCTCTGATCGGTCGGCGTGAGAGTTTCAGATCGGAGACGAAAGCTCTGTATAAATCTCTAGAAAATTCTAGAGAAAAAAATGCCGTCGCATGGAGATCTAGATCGGCAAATCGCACAATTGATGGAGTGCAAGCCGCTATCAGAAGCGGAGGTGAAAACGCTGTGTGATCAAGCGAGGGCTATACTTGTAGAGGAATGGAATGTTCAGCCGGTGAAATGTCCGGTGACTGTTTGCGGCGATATTCATGGACAGTTTTACGATCTCATTGAGCTCTTTCGGATTGGCGGCAACGCTCCTGATACTAATTATCTCTTCATGGGCGATTATGTTGGTATGTTTTTCGATATAGATTTTAGTTATATGCTTTGACAGTGTAATGAATTTTCTTACCTTATATGTGTAATTTAACATGTTTATAATTGGTTACTTACAATTTATTAAATATTACCTATCAATGCTATTAAATAGAGTTACCTACAATTGCCTTTTAATTGACTCGATTATGTAAAAAAAATTACATAGTCAGTGCATAGAACTTAAACTCTTTGGGTATTTGTTTCTGCATTGGGGGATTTTGTGGTTTGTTGCATTTATTAGGGCTTTGGATTTTCCAGACGTGAATTGGATTGTATAAGTAATTTTTTGTGGTATAATTTTTGTTTAAATTGCAGTTGCTAATCGTGCCTTAGATTTCCTTTTGAAATTTTCATGTTTGTATGTCTTTAGAAAATTAGAGAACCTTAAGTGATAGAGCTCATAATTGAAATTAAAGTATGAAACACGTATTGGAATGGAACGAGTCCAAACAGGACGGAATAGATATTGAGGATTCATATAATTGATAGTTTTGGACAGAGGTTTAGTTGTTGTTGTGTTATCATTTGGTATGGACAGAGATGGGATGTATGGTATTGGTAACAAGTACTAATGAGAATTCCATTAATGTGAACGGTGGTTAGTCTTGTAACATTGTATATGAGATTGTGAACGATAACTTTATGCTGAACACCTATGGTTTGTTGCCAGCTCTAATAGTCATGTGCGTGGTTTTGCAAAGAGTAAGGTTGCCTCAAAGGCAGCCACGTGGGGGCTTTTCATTTGTTGTTTCAGGAAGTGGACGACACATGATTATCCGTTCATTAATGTGGTGGAGTTATTATGGTGGTCCGTTTTTTATTTTGGCAATTAACATTGAAAACATCTTTGTTATGACAGGCTTTGGTTTGAACTGTTCATTGTTTAGCTTCGAAGTGATGAATTATTGTTGCGATGCAAAGTTGAAATGTACTTTTGGTTGGGATTGGCCAAAAGTAAGATAATGCCCTTGATGGCGACAGGTGGTACAGAAGTTCATTTGGTACAGAAGTTCATTTGGCAAACTTCATTGGCCAAGATGTTTGTACTTGTCAAAAGTTACTTGGTTAAATATCCTGTCAACACATGCAGGGTGCTAATTGACGACAGTAGTTTAGCCAACCAAAATGATGAGTGACTAAACTTAGTTTGTAGTTATGATTTACTTTATCTGACAATATTGTTGGTTGTCGTCTGTGTATTGTCCTTTTGTTAAGCTTGCTCAAGTGCGAGAGGACAGAGTTGGATGGGGTGAGTGTTGGTTTGTTGGATTTACTTTCGCTTGTTGTCCAAGTAGATTGTCCTTTAGTTAAGCTAATTTAAGTGTGAGAAGACAGGGCTTTCAGGAAAGTGAGTGCTGGCGTGTTTGATTTTATTTGATTTTGTTTCCTGTCTCATAAATTCTGTAAAAATTCTGTCCAAGTAGATTGTCCTTTAGTTAAGCTAATTTAAGTGTGAGAAGACAGGGCTTTCAGGAAAGTGAGTGCTGGCGTGTTTGATTTTATTTGATTTTGTTTCCTGTCTCATAAATTCTGTAAAAAAGGTGCTAAGATATATTACCTGAAGATAAAGTGTTCTGTTCTGCCTTTTCTTTTGCAAAACATTTTTGTAAGTGGAAGTGTCTCTCATCCTATGTTGCTCGGACTCGGGTGCGGCTATCCGATCTAGGTGTGGATCTAGAGGTCGAATCCTTCATAATCTAAATTTTAAGATTCAAGGGTACGGATCCAGGTGCGGATTCGGGAATTCAGCTAAAAATAATTCAAAATCTAAAAATAGATCTATAAAGATATCCTAAATTATGCGAGATATTCTGTGAAAATCTAATAGGTTATGGAGTGCAGCCGATAATTCAATCTTTCATTTTGAGAATTTCTCAAGTTGTAGGCAGTAGGCACTATGCATAGCAGGCAACAGCTAAAATTCAAATTTTCATTTTTCATTTTTCCTCAAATTTGTCCAGGGATTGTGGTCAAAGTACCCGATCTCGATTGACCACACCCGGTACGAATCCATTCCCTTATCAGTACACGTGTCGTGTCGACACGGGTGCGTAGGCTACTGAAGAGTCCGTGCAACACAGCTCTCGTCGCCGATTTGTACTCTTTATGTAAAATATGTAAAAAAGATTCATTTTAGCCTAGTGGAATACAACACGAGAAGTGTTATCACGCTGTCAACTGACACCGACTCATCCCAAACTTTTTTGAAAACTTTTGCTTGCCCAAGGTTGTCTTTTGTTTTTTTAATAACTTGCACTTTATCAGTTCTCGTGTTGGTTAAGTATTTTATAGTTGTTTATCGTTGTATAACTGTTTAATCAATGCAGACCGTGGATACTATTCAGTGGAGACTGTCACACTTTTGGTTGCTCTCAAAGTCCGTTATAGAGACAGAATCACAATTCTTAGGGGAAATCATGAAAGCCGGCAAATCACTCAAGTGTAAGTCTTTTTAATATTTCATTAAGTGATATTGTTAGTTTAATTTGGGGTGCTTAGAGATGGTTTATCTTTCGCAGGGGTTAGATTCAAAGAGCTATCCTTTTCATAGTTCGATCATTTGGTTTATAGATGGGCATGTGGACTTTTTAGTGCGTCTGTTATGATATTTTTCTCGCCTCTTGGTATTTAACTCTATGAGATTATATGGCAGTAGAAAAATATGGAGAAGGTCTAGTACTTCCTATTTTTTATTACTTCCTATTATTTTTGTTGCACAATTTGGGCTTTGAACTTAATTGGAGGTCAGTGAGGATTCATATAGCCAACCCCAACTTACTTGGGATCGAGGCATAGTTGTTTGTTGTTGTAGTCTCCTTTGTGTTTCGTTTTTAAATGTAGCTCGGCTGCTGTATGCTGTGATTTTTGGTTTTTTACATGCCCAGAGTCGATGCAAACGCTGTTAGAAGAATGTTTAAAACCTTCCTAATCTACTCTGCCATGAAGTCCATGGAACATGTTTCATGAACTGACCAAAGAGTCTTAACCTGCCACTTGGCAAAGAAATTATTTCCATTCTAGTTTTGCTTCAAAAACTGTTCTTTTCTCTTTATTGAGGTATTGATACGCAATCAGCCAATATCCCTTTGCTCTTCTCGTCATTCCAGTTTTAGAAAATGATCTTGAAATAAATTAATTACTGGTTCTCTACCTTCTTCTATTTTTGTCATTATATTAAGGTAGCATTCAGGATAGACTATGTAGCATGATGCACTTGTGTGTGTGTGTGTGTGTGTGTGTGTGTTATCATTTACTTTATCAGGTTAATGAACGACATTGTGCTTGTTTGGACTCACTTTGTTGTCTTCTCACATGAGAAATGCCCAAAACAAACGAGGTGGGAGTAAAAATTATATAGGAAAAGGTGGAAGATCTCTATTTTCTCTGGACGGTTGGAGTTTAAAGTGGAAGAATAAGAAAATCTGCATGTTTATTGGTATATATTCTACTATTAATAGTTTGTTAACATGGTTTTTATATCCAGAAATTGTATTAGTACAGGAGGGAGGATGAACGTTGTTCCTGAGGCTATGGAGAAAAAGGAGTTTTTTCCTTTTTTTCAGGGGGTTGGGTAGGAATGGTTCCCAAAATTTATGAATGACGAGGAACTTCAGGACATAAGGATGTCCCACAGTTTGTTCTTCTTTTGGAGTAATGAGGCCAAATATAATTTGATGTTATTCTATTTTAGAAAACAATGCATTTGTTATATTTAATCAAACCCACAATGTGAGTATTAGCCACGAAGTTGTTTTTCTTCGATGAAGTAAGTTGTTTCATTAGTGGCATCAAGAAGATGTGATGGTTACAAAAGAAGTATTGTTAGCTCCAGTGCATTTGTCTATGTCTAAGGAATGGCTTTAACATTTATACACTAACAGTATTAAGACTCTATCAAGTTGCTTAAAAGCCAATTACGGGTACTTGTCTGTAGTAAATATGAGTTTGTAATGTGTAAACATTGGTAAGTAACCTCTACAATTGCTTAAGCCTTAAACTACACTATAATGTAAAAAATCTTTACGCTGTTTGGGATGTAATTTAAATGAGGAAACTGGGCTTTATTTGGAAAGAGTTGTACAACAACAACCCAGTAAAATCCCATAAGTGGGAAAGAACTATCTGGAAAGATATATATATATATATATATATATATATATATATATATATATATATATATATATAATTTTTTTTTGTTTTTGGAGAAAATTTTCATTCAAGTGGAGCAAAGTCTTGGTACATGATCTCCGTGAAACTTGCTCTCTGAAATTACTGACCTTTATATAGCCTGAAAACAAGCTTCAAAACCTTTGTCATGCCTGGACAAACTTCAATCATATACTATACTAAAGAAGGATATGTATGGTGTATGAAGATGATGTCATTTGGAAGCTTGGTTGTTAAGTTGCTACATCTTTAAGAAGTCATCCTTCTTGCACTGGCCTTGGTAATACTGTGTGATTGAATACTTCCCTACTTGTGCCGTGGTATTTTGGACTGTACTAGGCTGCTAGGCGCACCTCAATGTTTTGCTCCTTAACTACTCCTACTAGATAAAGTTCAATTACCTATCAAGAAGAATTCTCCTTTTTGGGGATGAGCTATTTATGCAATTGATAGTCCACGCCCCTCAGCTTTGATTTATAAAGGACCATATGACTGATCAAGTCATGGATGGAGTAATTTGATATACCTCTTTTCCTGCCAGGTATGGGTTTTACGATGAATGCTTGAGGAAATATGGCAATGCGAACATTTGGAAGTATTTCACTGATCTTTTTGATTATCTACCACTGACAGCACTTATTGAGAGTCAGGTTTGAGCTCTTACTGTACTGACTTTTCATGTGAACAGAACTGCTGGCTGATATTACGTGCGTTTTATCAATTTATTGTAGATATTCTGTTTGCATGGAGGACTCTCACCTTCTCTGGATACACTGGATAATATCCGATCGCTGGACCGCATACAAGAGGTACATAAATGGTTGTGAGATTTAAGCATTTGTATTTCGATGATATGTAACATAGTCTCTTTAGTATTTTGTCACTAGTGGCTCCCCTCCTGCTTGATCAATCTGACTCCTGCAGTTTTTTCCCTCCAAATTTTAGTGGCTGTCCTCGAAGAGATAGATCCTACAGCAACAGGGTTTAATTTCCTGTTTTACCTTCCAAAAAGTTTACCTCTTTGGTGCAACGACTTTCTTCCCATGACTCTGTTAACAGTAGTTCTGCAGAAATATCCAGTAGGACTACAAAGTCGGATCTGGAGATAGCAGTTATGACAGTTTGATCTACGGATACCTCTATGTATATATACAGCAGCATTAATAACCTTTTGCTGCTCTGCTATGCATTGGTATATCTATTCTGCTTAGAGACTTAGAGACGGCAATTATTACCTTTTATCATTTGATATCTCCCTGTTTCTCATTCTGATGAAGTCTGATATCTCAGTTTTCTTATAGCTGCTCTGTTAACTTTTTGCTGAACCTTGCATATTTGCATCAGTGGTCTCCGTTTTCTCTTATGTCTCATGATGTCAATTCTATGCACGTTAATGTTGCTGCCCTCATTGGTTATGCCTCTTATTTGGTGGTTATTAGGTTCCACATGAAGGGCCAATGTGTGATCTTTTGTGGTCTGATCCAGATGATCGGTGTGGTTGGGGAATATCACCTCGAGGGGCTGGTTACACCTTTGGACAGGATATAGCATCTCAATTCAATCACACCAATGGTCTCACACTGATTTCTAGAGCTCATCAGCTAGTCATGGAGGGTTTTAATTGGTGTCAGGTTTGTGGACCTAAATTGAGGCACCCCACCTCCCATCTCCCCCTTTTGTTAGTTCTGTGGAACTTGATTTTAAAAAGCAGTTTGTGTTTTTTTATTTTTAACATGCTATTTGGTGGTGTAATTTTGGCAGGATAAGAATGTTGTGACAGTATTTAGTGCTCCAAACTATTGTTACCGGTGTGGTAATATGGCTGCCATCCTAGAAATAGGCGAAAACATGGAGCAGAATTTCCTTCAGTTTGACCCAGCTCCTCGGCAGATAGAGCCTGACACCACACGGAAGACTCCAGATTACTTTTTGTGATCCCAATACTTGCACTGATTGCCTGCAGGTATGTTTAACAAGACGAGTTTTGCTGGTTGAGTGTTCTCGGCATCATTCTTTTGTTTGGAGCTTGACTACCTATGCCAGATGCTCATCAGAGTTGACAAAACGCCTTAATTGGCTTTTCATGTATATTTTCCCAAAAGGAATCAACATGCTCTGTAATTTTGAAATTTACCGTAAAAAGCAGGGGGGTTTCTCCCAAAGTTGAAGTACCAACTCGTAGGCATTTGTTCGTACCTTTAGTCTTCTGTAGTCGTTTTAGACACAAGATACTTTTCACTTGGTTTCTATTAGGATCATGTTTTAAATTTATTCTAATGATTACTTTCCAAACGAAGGTCTAATTTTTGCAATATCCGAGGTTAATATTAGTTTCAAGTGCGACGAATTAAAAAATTTCCAGACAGTTAAGGAAATGCTTAATGACCTTTCTGAAGTCCTCAAATAGATTTATGCATTGTCATCTGATGCGTCCTTTATTCTTCTTTCCATGATCGAATTTGAAGGAATTTAAGGTAATTGTTTTACATCTCTTATTGAGAGGAAGGTGCTGTTTTCTTGTTTTCTTTTCTTCCTATAGCTTTCGAGTTTCAAGCTGGATATTTTCACTCAGAGGGATGTCGTGGAATAAATCACCAATGTAATTCGAAATACGACACAAAGAATATCCTCAATATGTAATGGGTGGAGGTTTACCTACGAACATGGAACTAACTAAATAACACAAATGACATGAGAACAGCAAAGAAATAGCTTCAGTGTTTTTCTCTTCTTACACTTCCTTTCTCTTCTTAATACTCACACCAAATCAAGACAGGGTATTCAGTAGGAAATCAAGTATTATTTGCCCTACGAAATATACACCTAAAGTGGAACAAACTCAACACAACATGAGAATCGCGACGGCATTATAAAGCTAATAGTTAATCAAGCACCACGGAATTGACTTTGAAGATCGATTTATCCCCTAAATTTACACACAGAAGGCTGAAACAAGAAGAAAAAAGCTTGTAAGTGCAGTATCAAGATAACAGTTTTCCCCCTGATATGCAATAACATGAGGCTGCTATTTCCTGGTGCTCGTGTTCAGATGTTCAGCTTCCAAAAACGGGTTCTGATAAATGTTCTTCCCGTGGAACCCAGTCGTATACCCAAGCTGCAAAGACCTGCCAGCTTTTTATGCATTTACAGCAAAAAATTTGGTGTACTTACACAAGCTAGTAATCCAAATTTAACACCAAGCGTTCTGCATCAGCAGCCTGGCTCTTGTTTCAGCTGGATTCCACTTGTGGAGCCAAACATCATCGGCTAGAAAAACAGAACAAACTATAAGCATTACGACATGTTTGGAAGAAACATAGTTTTAGCAAAAACAGAGAACAATTTTTGTTAATTGCTGAGGTAGTCGCATCATTATAGTTACAAGGGGGCAATTCCTGTTACATGGTGAAATCCGTATTGGGTGAGAGATTTAATAAGATTAGGGAACTAAACCTAAAATAGCATGCAAAAAGCCTGATTTTACCTGAGTCATACTAGGCAAAACACTACTAGCAAGTTCCTCATTCAACAAAACTGGGAGGGGTGGCATTTGGCTCATAATCCCTGGCATATTTCTCATGCTGCAGCATAAACAACACTATCACTACGTGAATTGTAATGACATCTAAATTCAGCCTGTCAAATATTAAGAATGACAACATTACTCGTTTAAAACTGCCGTTATATTATTTCTTGTTCGGATGAAGAGATCAATGTTGTCCTGCAACTGCCCATTAACACATTTTGATGTCAGATATCAGCTGATATGCATAACTGAATACTGTAAAGTATTGACAAACCCCTCTCCGTACCCAAAAGTTGCAACCAGAAATAAGACATAAAAATGAAGAAAAAAATGCAGTATAACATGCAGAATGAATTTGACGCAGTCTTTTTTCCCCCTTTTCAGGGATATAGGCACACAGTACTATTGCTTTGATATTTCACTGTTCTTTTTCCCCTTTCACCGGCTAAGGTGTAGGCAGGAGGAGGGCAATAAGCTAATTCTCATTTATTGTTTTACCTGTTACAATAAAGGGATGAAAGAAGTAAAAAGAAAAGACACGAAATAGAGATCAGATTAGGGGGCCAGGGGTAGATAGACTGAAGAAGCATCACCAATCAGTTCTATTTTACAATACAAATTACATATAGGTAAAGTAGCAAATATCTGTATTCTCTTGGTAGACAAAGTACCATACAAATAACTAATCCCTTATCATGAGCTAATCTTGAAATTCCCAACTGTTTTTTGTTAGAATGCATTCCTCGATAATTCTTTCATTTGAAAGGCACATAGTAAGTTGTTACATCCCACACAATTTGCAGAATTGCTAAACTTAACACAGCAGTATAGGCTCAGACAAACAGAGAGGCAGGTGGTTTCCATCTCTTGTGCATTCTGGACTTCTATTATTGCAAAAGACCAAGAATTTACATATCAACTTGCAAAGACAGAGCCGGGGTTTTCTTATCTCTTGTGGGCTACATAAAAAGGAGGGATTACAAGACATTATGGGTGTGTTTGGTACGAAAGAAATGTTTTCATGAAAAATGAGTGGTTTTATCACTTCTCTTGATAGGGAAAACATTTTCCTCCAATTAGAGGAAAATGAGTTGATGAGGAAAATGTTTTCCAAAACATTTAAGCCAACCAAACATGGGAAAATTGGAAAACATTTTTCGGAAAATATTTTCCTTCGTACCAAACACACCCTATATTTCCACCGGAATAGTAAAAGTCCTCAAGTTATGGCGAATATCCTCAAGGAAACCAAATTCTTATTAGCAAATTTAGGAAACAACTTTTTTCCAAATCATTAATGGCGACTTGGACCTCTCCTGATTTCACCAATTCAGACGTTTACCAATTCACAGTGACCAACTTCAGTGAAAATCCCAAGAGAAGGCTAACAATTAAGCACTTTCACAATTACTTTATTAAGAGTCACAAAGTTTTTTTTATGAAGTTCAGTAAGAGTCGCTAAGTTAAGACTGTCTTAACGGAAAGACAAAAAGAAAGCAAGTTTAAATCCCACAACCTTTCTAGAAGCTGTTGAGACGCTTCGTAAATACTGGGTTCTGGGTGATTAATGCTCCAAGTCATGACTTATATATGAGAATAAATAGAGGCAGGGAGCAAGCTGGGCCTGAACACCACCGTTGTAAAATAAAATGAAATAAAACAAATAGAGGCAGGGGAATGAATACGTTATCTTTTAATGCAAGGACCCAAGTAGAAATATATGTAGTACTCCAACATTTTAGTATCTTACGTTTCCTTTTCCCTTTCAATTATCAAGGCTCCTACTACAAGAGGTTGAGATTAATACCTTGACTGCTGAAAGGTTGGCCGAAATCTGATTGAGAGCCTGATTGTTTTCTTCCAGTAGATGTCTCGTTCCAAGTAATGCTGTAAGCAACAAAAAACAGGTAAGTTTGTGAATAGGAGCCAATCGAAAAAATGAGATGCACAAGATGAACAAAGAATCACACAGAAGAAAAGGGAAACCATAAAGCGGCAAGAAAAAAGAAGATTTGAAGGCAATCGATTCTCAGCAAAATTTTTACCACATAACACTTGGTGACATCTTTTACATGTCAAATAATATTTACTGAACACCGTACCTTACAACATTGTACTAATCAACTTTTTAGCTTTGACACAAATAAATTTGTCGAATAGCTCTAGATTAGCCAATACATCTATGTAAGTGTCAATGAATCTTTTTGACTGATATAAAGTTGGGTTCAGTGCATTCAGAGAAACTACCAAGATTACATTTTCACTCCCTGCTTCTATTAATTTTGATATACAATTCCTGCTTTGCAGCACTTGAGTTAAATGTAAAAGGAACCCACACATAGGTGGCGGGACAGTTAAAGAAAGTTACGGGGCCTACATTTAGCTGGTTTTTGGCCCAAATACAAAGTAGTTTGAATGTGAAACAAGCTTTTGTTTGTATTTGGATTTTGCTGAAAACCAAACTTAGTTTTCATAATAGCCCGCGAGGTTTTACAGGGTATCACTTACACACGTCTCCTTTCCAGAAATATCTATATAAAATTATAAATTTAACTTTTTCACCTCATTATTATGTTTCAAATACAACTTCTGTATTTATTTCAATCTACGCTTTTTTTTCCAAAATGTTGTGGGACAACACACACCGCGTGGATCCCACCACAGGGAAAACTTTCTTGCAGATAAAGTCAAGTTGTAAGCACCCAAATTCTTCTGATTTCAAATTTTGAACATTCCTTTTCCATCCATTGGAACAAAACCGAGAAAATCTTTAACCTGCTCCTCACTTTTATCAAGAAACTAATGATATCCAAATAAAACGCATAGTGACTCTTGTATAAGAAAATAAGCTAGTAATGGTTAGCTTTAGCAGCTAAATGAATAAGTGGATTCTAAGCACACCTTTTCAAAAGTGTGACTAACTAGACATATTATTACATTATTTTTAATTAGAAAAAGAAAACAGTCATCATTGAAGTTTTATCTCCAAGTATACCAGAGGTATCAACAGATGGTTACTTTTCTTCCGCTTGCCTAACTCCCATGAATTAACAGACATTAGCATCAGTATTCTTCCAAGGTTTGCCCAAAATCAATTTTTGACAAAGCAACTTTACGATCACTTCTATTTCTTTCCCTGTTTGAAGTCAAATAATAAATTATTCCCTTATTATTATCATGTGACACACTTTCCTTATTAGTTTGTTCCAAAATGAATGACAAATTTTTTAATGAAAAATTTTATAATTGGAAACAATTTAACCTTAAACTTTTCATGTTACCCATTTTACCCTTAATGAGAAGCTTTACGGACTCACAAAACTTGTACCCTTTAAGCTTTTAAGACCACAAGTTTAAAAAGTCTTCTTTTTTTTTTCTTAAATTTCGTGCTGAGTCAAGCTACCTCACATAAATTGAAACGAATTGAAATGAAGGGAGTAACTTATTTCTCAAATTTCATCAATTGCATACACAAGAAGCTTAATGAAATCTTGTTAGTATACTGTCACTATATGATAGTACTTTTCTGTACCATGTGAACCATAAATAAATTAAAAATGGTATTTTTTTTTTTTCAATACATATAGTATTGAGCCATCATGGATGAAAGTTCTTTTACTCCAAGTAAAACCAGAAAGCAGTTTGTTCAAATTGCATGTTAGAGCCTGTTTGGATTGGCTTAAAAAAAGTGGCTTTTAAGTTATGTACTTAAAAGCACTTTATAAGTGCTGGAACTTGTTTTACAAATAAGCAGTTACGTGTTTGGATAAAAGTGCTGAAACTGAAAAAAAGCTGATGAAGCGTTCCGTAAACAAGTGCTGGTAAGCACTTTTTCTCGTTAAAATGATTGAAATATCCTTAAAGTTGGCAAGGATCAAGTAGCAATAGAGGTGGCCGGCGCCGGCGGAGGAAGCTATCCCAAAATCCACATAGAAACCACCCTTCAACCTAGCCTCACGTTTCAAACGAATTAACTCCTTCTCCTGCTCCTCATACTCCTTTGAGTACGGTTTTGCCCTATTGTAGATTAGTTTCCTGTTCTCAGCATTCTTCTTCTTTGCAGCTTCAAGTTCTTGCTTCTTTGCAAGAGCCCATTCCTCACTCCTCTTCTGCTTCTTCAACACTGACTCTGGGACGGGAGTTTCACCCATCGCTTGGAATTGTGGAGGTGAATGGAACGAGGGGTTGCTGGTCAGGGGCGAGAGGGAGATAGTATGTTTTAGGGTTTTCTACTGAGGGGTAATTTCGGGATTAAGAAAAATTATAAGGGATAAGAATGTAATATTCTTGGTCAGAGCAGTATGGCTTTTAAGCCAATTTCGAAAAAGTTGGATTTTCCAACTTATTGGTTTTGGCTTTTTTTAAGCCCTTTTTTTGGTTGCCAAACACTTCCACAAGTTAAAAAGTGCTTAAGCCCATCCAAACAGGCTCTTAATACAATTTATATCTGTCAAAGAAAAAGCAGAACACATTGATCCCTACAGCTAAACAGATGACACTAACCTGCAGAAGGGATATTTTCACCATGGTTACGATGATTTGAGGAGAGTGAATATGGAATGAAGCTCAATGGCGAAGCTGAGGATGTACCAGTTTTCATGGATGCTTCTGCTGATTTATCCTATAGAAAAATGAACTTCGTAATGTTATCTTCTCAGTTAATGTAACACATACATATGTGTGTGAAAACACATACACCTACAGAGACATAAATAAATGAACACGAGTACAGACCATTAGTGACAAGTATTGTGAAATATTTAAAAAGGACAGTAAAACAAGAACTTCCAAACGATTCCAAAGAACTGTTTTCAGTACACATTGAAGTATTACCAGTAAAAATTTACCAGCAGGGGGTGTAAAACTAACTCCACGTTCTACAGATTTAAACAATTCTATTGCTCTTTTTCATATGACGGAAATTGTAATGTCTTACTAAAAGGACAAAGAGAAAAATCCATCTAACAAATCCTTGCCTGACACACACCAACACCAGTCTTGCTTTTAATATTCGGTAGATGATGTAATAGGTACGATGACGAGCCATCTGTTTTCAGGGTATTAGATGCACCTATCTTGCTCTTATCAAGAAATTTATTCACCAATTGAGAAAGATGTTTGTAAGCTTAATAACTGATATGATTGTATGAGCAACAACAACAACAAACCCAGTAGAATCCCACTAGTGGGGTCTAGGGAGGGTAAAGTGTACACAGACCTTAACCCTACCCCGGAGAGATAGAGAGGTTGTTTCCGGGAGACCCTCAGCTCGGAGACAATAGATCCGTAACAACCACATAAACCAGAAAATAGTATCAGCATCTTAAAAGACAGCAAATAAATGGAAAGGCCAAAAAAAAAAAATACAGTGTGAAACACAACAAAAACCACTAGCAGTCCTAGACAAAACACTATCAGACTAGCCGAGACTAGCCGGCACAGGTGATAAAGACAAAAAGCAAGTCCAGGAAAAAAATATATAAACATTTAAGCAAGACATCAGATCTACTGATTTCACTTTAGACGCCACATTAAGTTATAAGGTCAACACTTCAGAAAGGTCACAAGCAGAAAGGAAAAGACTTGGCCTTGAGAATCCATGAGATTTTCCATAGAATCCAACACTGAAATCTCAAGTCTATTTGGCTTTTTATAGATAGAAATGACGGCAAAGCTGGAATACCCGAAGTCCATTGGATTAACCGTGCAAGAGCTATATAACTCCACAAATTTGCTAGCACTACCTCGGTCCTCACATCTTTAAAATTTAAAAAAACAAAATGTTTAACACAATCAGTTGTTCAATTCTCCAAATATAAATCATATCACGTCAAACCGAACAGAAAGGTAATAAGATAAAACAGCATGTTGCGATTTCTTCACTAAGACGGACAAATGACTAATGTAACGCCTTAAGTCCCAACTAAGGATAAGAACTGCAAAAACCTCCAAACAACGATTCAAGATTCAAAGAATTTAAAGCCTAAGCAATTGACTTTCAATAGTTAAGTGTTTCTTTTTGCCCTTCGATAAGCTAGTCAAAGTCAACTTCTAAATACTAGACCAAACAAATAAAAAAGTCACTTCATAATACAATACCAGGAAAGGAAGAAAAGACGAAAAGAGAAAGCAGTCGCTGGCACACCTTCCTGTCTTTCCCTTTCTTCCCCAAACTATAGTCTTCCTGTTTTCTGCGCTTTCTCTGACAAACAATCAGTCAATAGGTAAGCAAGTCATGTTCAAAAAGCATAAGCCATCAACTAAAATTTATTTAGTGAAATTAAAAGAAAAGCATTCTTCAGATATTAATTACTACAATATTTAGAGAAACTCACCAAATTATACTGTTATTGCTATGGAAAGATACCACTAAAAAGTTTACTTTTTCAAAATAATAACAACAACAACAACAACAACAATAATAATAATAATAATACAGGTCCAGTAGCTCACCGTCATCCACCTACATCTTAATGCAACATCACGTACAGTTTTGTCACGGAGTGCAGCTGCAATCTTAATATACTTCATTATACTGGGTTCATTCGCAAACCTATCATCAAAACACTGACAGTCATACATACTCATAGATGGGGGAGAAAAGATGAAATGAAACAGCATCAGAGATCAAAACAGATTCTAATTCAAAGAAAGTTCTGATCAGTCCAAGGAGTATCAGGCTCGTGAAAAGCATTTTCAAATTCATTTCCTTAATAAATTTTACAATTTTTCATTTACTGTTTTCAGTTATTCATCAAACTAGCTTGGATATATATGAAATTTCCAATTGGGTAAGCAGAACAAACCCCAGCAGTGAACACTATGCGCCAGCCAATCATCAACTAACAGCTACTGAAGTCCTAATTAAAAGTCAAATGTAACATAGTTAAACAACCAACTAATTTGTTAAAAATGATCTTGATTTGGCAAATTCCAATTAGTTAACAATCAAGTCCCGAACAAGACAAGATAAGTAGAAGTTTCTGACTCTCTTCCACAAAAAGTGGGAATCTTTTGCTGCTCTTTGCTGGGTTAGGGAAAGTGATCATTTCATTGTTTTCATTTCACTACGCGCCAGCCCATCATTTGACTGTTTTC